AGGCAACACTGATTCGAGCGGTGCCTTCTAACAGGGCTAGTGGTGTTATAAGATGTTGGATCAGAGACAACACAGCAGATGTTCACCAACACAACTGTATTCAGAACAACAGGTCTTCCCTCTCACTTTCCCATCATGCACTATGTCGAGATACCACAGAGATACTACCCTCTAACAAGTCGTCTTGAAGGAATATTACGCAGCCACGGCTCAGTTTCTTGTCCTTTTTGTAGCCGGCCCATACAACTTAACTATCAATTTTCGCAAAATGTTTTCCGGATGGATAAAAGTTCATATCTAGAGAAGGAAGCAGGTGTAATTTTAAAGGGTGTTACTAGAAAGAGTAAGGGAGTAACGCCGAGGAAACTAGCAAGGATTGCAATTATGCCAAAAAATTGTGCTTTACTCCAAAGAATTCCTCATGCTCATTCTCGTCCCCAGAGCCCGTCGTTTCTTGGTCACGTGGTAGGGAAACGAGGGGCTCTGGAAGCAGCCGTTACCGGATGTCAGAAAATTTCTGTCATCCGGTCGCGCATGTGCAGAAGTTACAAATATCACTGCTCATGGTCATAACGGATTTTTGTCTCTCACCGCTCCTCTGGGGGAAAAATTTTACTTCCTGAGCTCTCTCCAGCGAGTGGCTTCTTTGAGGTGTTTTGAAAATACACCACTTCACTCAACTTGGATTCACTGATAATTTGGAGAATTTGAAGAAGACAGTAATAGAAACCGACTGAACACACTGTTGGTTTGCAGAACTGAGACAATTAATCGGTAGACTATCGTCTGAGTCAGGTGAGTTTTTTTTCAATCCGTTTGGCGAACAAACACTGGGAAAGCAATATCGCGAAGATCGATATAATGCGGCAAAAAGTGAATCTAAAAAGGTATTAAACCTATAATTATAGTCGCGACTTCTTACTGGCTCTTCAAAGTTGTTATCTCCTTCCTACTATTGACAAATCAACACGTGTTCACAAAAATTCTGCAAGCTTAATCGATAACATTTTTGTGAACAATCCTGAGCAGGTGCGAATCAGCGGTAATCTCATTACTGATGGCAGCGATCATTTTTCGCAGTTTTGTATTTTGACATCAACAAGAGATAAAATTAAACGGTAGCAAATTGAAAAACGGGATCTTTCGCATTTGAATCCCGATAGTCTTAACAGCGAACTTCCTACGATCGACTGGAGTTGCATCATTAAAACGCACGCAAATAATGTAGACGAGCTATTTTCAACTTTCAATAGAAATTTTAATAAAATTATAAATAAACATGCACCGATTAAAACCCTTTCTCAACGTAGGATTAAACAATTTTCTAATCCTTGGATTAAAAAAGGTATAAGAAGGTCAATCAAAGAAAAAAAACAGACTGTACCAAATTGGCGATCAGGAAAAGTATGAATATTATCGAAATAAAATATGCAGTCTTACACGTTTGAGTAAGAAACACTATTACTGCTCCTTTTTTTAATAACAATTTAAGTAATATGAAAAAAACATGGCAAGGCATAAATGAATTATTAAATCGCTGCAAAAGAAAGTGTAAATCTGTTGGTAAATTAAAAGACCCAGATAACAACAATAACCTTACTAATGATTCCTCGCGTATACCTAATATCTTAAATAAACATTTTTCAAGTGTTGGCAACATCTTAGCAAGCAAACTACCACCGGCAGAGCGCCCCTTCACAGAGTACCTAAGAAACTCCAGTTCGCTAGAACTTTCGTTTTTCTTCAGACCTGTAACTCCATCCGAAATTCAATTTCCAATTTTATCTATAACAAAAAGCAAACCGCATGGCTTATACTCCCGTCCTACTCAACTTCTTGAATACTCAAGCGAAGTCATATCTCCAGTTCTCTCAGATATTCTCAATACATCTGTCTCTCTTGGGGCTTATCCCCCAAAACTTAAGATATCAAAAATTATACCTATCTTCAAAGCTGACGACGAGACCGACACTTGAAATTATAGGCCAATCTCATTATTATCAAATTTCGATAGAATCTTCGAACAAATTATGTACGACAGAATGAGAGACTTTATTGAAAAGCACAGCCTATTATATTCGTCTCAATATGGTTTTCGTCAAGCTCACTCAACCCAACATGCTATTCTTGATATGGTAGAAACTATACAAGCCAATATGGACAAAAAACTCTTTTCATGTGGTGCTATTATTGACTTAAAAAAGCCTTTGACACTGTGAATCATACTATTTTACTTGATAAACTAAATTACTATGGCTTCGGTGGAATTGTCAATCAATGGTTTTCCTCTTATTTATCAAATCGCACACAAAGTACTGAAATCGGCTCTCATATATCTAGAAAACTAAATATCAATTGCGGCGTATCCAAGGTTCTGTCCTAGGTCCACTTCTCTTCTTGCTCTACGTAAATGACATCCAATATTGTTCCAGCAAACTCCAATTTTTCCTTTTTGCTGATGACACTAACGCTCTTTATGCTCATAAAGATTTAAAGACACTGGAACTAACAGTAATTGCAGAATTACACAACTTGTATAATTAGCTGACTTCAAATAAACTTTCTCTGAATATTAAAAAGTCAAACTATGTAATTTTTCGTCCATACCAAAAAAAAACTCAACTATGATCCCCAGGTTAATATTTTTGACAATGAAAGCAATAAAAAGGTTGCCCTTGAACGCAAAAACTTTATTAAATATCTTGGACTGTTAATCGATGAAAATCTATCTTGGAAGACCCATATTCACTCTGTTGCAAACAAAATAAGTAAAACAATTTGGCTAATTGCGAGATGAAGACATATTGTTCCCACTTGCACCCTCCTAAATATTTATCAGTCACTAATTACACCTTATGTAACTTACGGTAACTTACGGTCTTATCTCTTGAGGCAACGGGTGTAAAACTTTCCTTGACCAAAATCTTGCCCTTCAAAAACGCGCACTGCGTTTAATATATTTTGCTGAAACAAACGACCACGCAATACCTTTTTTTTGTCAATGCAAAAATTCTACCTTTACAGTCTCTACATTATGAATCCGTTTGTAGTTTTATGTATGATGTAAATAAAAACACTGCTCCGGATAATATTTTGAAACTCTTCTCTCGAATTTCTAGTGTTCATACTTACAACACACGTGCCTCAACCTCTGAACATTTTTATACTAAAGAATCTCGACTCAATGTCAAACGAAATGCTTTATCGCGTGTTGGGGTCAAAATTTGAAATAGGATACCCCAAATTCTTAAAGAAAGACTGAAAAAAACTTTTAAAAGATCACTAAAAGAAATGCAACTCGATATCCTTGAAACTGAAGACTCCTATATTGCTGTGGATACGATCATCCTGAAAATAAAAAAGTAATTATCTTGTCATTTATTTTCATTTTATTTTATTTTTAAAATTTCATTTTAATATTGCCCTTGCATTTAAGTAGAATAGTATCTATTTAATGTAATATATATATACTTATATAACGTCTAATCAACGTCTTATA